AGTATGCCCAAAGGGCACACATATTCTCGCGAATCTAATATTTATATAAGTCGCCGTGGTCTCAATATTAATCGCGCGCCTTCCCGACTTTTTGTAGAAGAAGTATACTGCTTTATTGACTCTACTAAAGTCATAAAAAATTGAAGTTTTTGTGTAATATTACTGTAGCAAAAAGACTAAGATTTTGGAAAGAATTAACTGCGCCCCTTTCAAATCTGACATTCATATTTCAACGTTTCAATAAATCATAATTGTTTGGAAGTGCATAAAATCTATTTGCAAATGTTAGGGAATCGCTGTTATAAAATTAATGAAATTATAAATCAAAAAATTTTAAAATTACCAAAGAAATTCGTAACATTTGAATGGAAAATTTCTGGTTGTTTTAATCTATTATAAAAAAAAAAATTTTTTTAATACAAAGCAATAATATTACAAATAATTATTTCTTTCATAGTGATGAATAATATTCTTATTAAAAATACACATTATAGAAGATCATTAATTTTTTTAATTGGAACATCTTTTGTCAAAATGTTAAGTTGGGGACAGAAAAGCTATCAGCTAACAAGAAAAATGAATAACAAGATCCTCTGCGATTATTCTTTCCGGATCATTCTGAATGGTCCGACCCTATATATCGAACATTATGAAGGATACATGACACCCCTGTGTAACGAGATACCAACCGCCGATGCGAGGAAAAGGATGAGGAGGAAGAAGATGATGAAGAAGACCTGTGTTCTGGTTTATAAAAATTACTGCTGGAACATATCCTTGAAAGCCGAAACCACGAGAACGCCGGCGCCTATACATCATCGCTAACACGTTAACGATACGATGAAATTTATTTGTTCTTTTATTATCTGTTCAAATTTCCATTCAATTAATAATAATTAACTTTCTAAAATACCGTATAACAAATTCTATCTTATATTAAATTGTAAATGACATAGTTAAGAAGACTAATCGCGAGAGAAATCATACAAAAATATTAACTCTTGTATAAATCATTTTAAATATTATTAGATCATAATATTTTTAGGCTTAATTTTGATAGAATTATGCTCGTTTCTACCAATGTAGATTAACTTTAATTCCTCGGTTCAACTTATTCTTCATCTTTTTAATCTTATGACTAGAAAAAGATGAAGAGTAAGTTGAACCGAAGTTAAAGTCAATCTATATTGGTAGAAATGAGCATTAGTTATACAAAAACGACATTTCGCAATTTGTTTTTTTTTTTTTAAGAAACTCTTTTGCGTTTTATCCAATTATACAAATTTGCCGGGAACATATTGCATTAGAGTGACAAAAATAAATCGATTACCTCACCATATTCTGTGCGTTGCGGCGCATCTTAATAAAAGCGCGTACACATACGTCCTTCTGCCTCTAAGGCTTTCGGTAGCCATTTAGAAACCAATGAGGTTCTAATGAAGGTGGAGCTTGCGACAGAAATCTCCACCTACTCTTAAAACGCTCTATTTCCCTCCGCTCAACGACGAGCGACACAGCATAAGCCAAGAGAAGATCGCAGAGAACGTGAAAGAACGAGAGAAGAAGAGAAAGATAGAGAACCGATGAGGACCTTTAAGTACGTCTTAACTCGGCCAAGTCAGTTGGCATCTCGGCTGCTCGAGAGCAAAATGACGCCTTCGTTTTCGAGCGTGTTCCTGCGATCAGACGAGACTCACGAGACCTCGATTGACGCGTTATAATGCCGACATGGGAAAAAATTGCAGACTCCGCAGTCATAGCGTGTTTAATGCAAATTGAAATCTGCGACGGACGTGTATTGATCCTTTAAGTTCAGAAGTGAATAGAAAACTTTTGCCAAGTTTGCTTTATGAGATAAAAGTTGATTCAGCGGAAGCTGGTGAAAGAGTGAACTTTATGATCGAAGTTAACAGGCATAAGATACTAACAAACTTGATCAAAGCTCAAAGGAAATTGCGGGAGTGAAATTATATTGATTGAAAGTTATTTTTATAGGATTTCGTTATTTTTTCGAAATTTTTGTTAATTTATTTATTCGATTTTATTAATATCGTATTGACATGAGAATTAGCGAGTGAAGAAAAATAAAAAATATCTAAAATAACATATCAGTAATAATAAGTATTGCGGGAGTGAAATTATATTGATTGAAAGTTATTTTTATAGGATTTCGTTATTTTTTCGAAATTTTTGTTAATTTATTTATTCGATTTTATTAATATCGTATTGACATGAGAATTAGCGAGTGAAGAAAAATAAAAAATATCTAAAATAACATATCAGTAATCCGTGATCAAAGCTGAGGTCAAATTATGATCGTCGTCGCGCGAAAAATGCCAATTGGCGGGTACCGCAGTTTAAAGGTTAATAAGTTTAATCGACACTCGATAAGAATCACCTCAGCTAGGCTATTGGTAGTCCAGCATAAAATTCAAATACTGAGATTTATCAGAAGTTCATTATTATTCGAGAAAAATTTATTTGTACACATATACGTTTATAATTTCGCGCGTATAAGTGTAATAATATTACTTATATATAATTATAAATATTATATTTAATATTTATATATGTTCACAGCCAAAGTGTTTGCTATATGTAACATTTGCTATATGTACATTGACTAGTAAGTGTCACACATTTACTGAATTTAATACTTTGATTGTGACATATATCAGCACATGTATAATACATTTAATTATTCGATCAACGTAGAAAAAGTGACAATAAAAAAGGATAACAATTTTTTTGTCAATTCAGGAAAGAGTCCAAAGATTAATAAATGATAGTCGGGACAGTCAGGAAAATTATTGCTCTAATTGTTATTTAGGCAATGAGAAAATACAGGGCTACCTACACAAATATGAAGATCAAAAGCCTGCGAAGAATTGTATTATAATTGACTTGAAATGCGTGCGCGGATTTTAACCTCCTGATTATGCTTGTAAATATCGGAATTAGGATATTGTCCAACAGCGAGAAAACCAGACGAATTTCACTTAAATATATAACTAGGCAGATATGATAAATTAGAAATTGACTGACGGATATATATTAACATGTATCTCTTCGTAGAATTATCGTGCATAAATGCAATAAAACATGCATTTGTGACAAGTATAATTTATAAAGAGATAATTCAATTCATATTCCCGTATTCCTGAGATTGAGATTTTAGAAATAATCTTAAAACGATCAATTGCAGTTAATTAATAAAATGATAATTTATTATGAGTTTTATGAGAGTAAAAAACTGTACACATATATAAAATTAATTTGTATTAACAGTGACAAATGTGGAAATTTTATTCTTTTCTGTTATATACATTTTGTTGATTATTTCTTTTCGAATTATTTTATTTAAAAAACTGTAAAGATATAAACTTTTGTAAAGGTGTTAATCTTTTTTCATTATGCTTACTTTTCTTTTATACTTCAAGTAAAATAATTAAATTAAAAGCATTCTCTTCAAATGTATTTACTCGCAACTTTTCAATGTCTATTATATATTTTCAATTATAATTTCACATTGTGGAGGATGCTTAAATTGCCAAGAACATATTTCATCGTGAAAATGATATTAAATTATTGTACTTTGTCAACGTTAGATGGTATTTGCGTCTATATATTTGAGTCGGTTAAATTTTGCAAGACATACTAAGAGAGAATTATTTATATACGGTTGAAGTATGAACGAGTTTTCGAACAGTCTGCGAACACTTTGCAGTCGCTGGCACGTGGCCCTAATTGCATCGTCACGCTCGAGCTCGAAAATGCTTTAATTAACATTTTCCGAGACAAATTACGCATAAACGTGCTGGTTTCATTCGCATATCCCGCATCGCCATAAATAATCATCTTTTAACGATCGCGTACGTTAAATCGATAAAACCTTTTAAGCGGCGTCTATAATGACATTTTAAGGCTTAAAAATTTCAAATCATAAGAAATTGACCATAAATCAAATATGAGGAGAATAATCAACTATGATTGGTCAATTTCTTATAGCTTAAAAGTTAAAACTTAAATTTTACACTTTAAAATTTCATTGTATAAATGCCGCTTTTTCCGGAGTTTTTCATTAAAAGATTCAATACACTAGCTTAACGTATATGCATACATATTTCTTTTTTATTTTAATTTAAAGTAATTAATCATAACTGTGTGTAAAAAATAGTTTGACGTTCTTAAGCTTTTAAAGATAACTTCAAAAAATTAATTTTTGAATAATTGCTTTGCATTGAACCATTATCATCTTGCTGTCTATCTACTTCGTTTAAATTACGAATAGACCTAGATTCTAATACGTCACAACTTTATTTAGCGCCATTCTTAGTGCTAAATGCGGACGTCCAATTCCAAATTTTAATCGCCCAATACGAAGATTGCGTTCAGGGTCAACGTGAGATAAATAGCATTATCCGATTTAATGTTAAATGTGTGACGAGAATACATGTTATATAGCCAAGCCAATTCTGCAAATAATGTTACAGTAAAATATGACCATAATTCATAACGCCGATCGCTATAATTTCGATGTCACATTTTATAAATAGCACCTTAAATGGAAAAAGATTACAAATTCTGCAAATTGATTCGCTAGAAATAAAGGAGGAGAAATTATTATCAACTCTCGTACAATTGATATTGACTTTCTAAATATAATCGACTAATTATGTTATGACGACGTATCATAAATTATTATTTTATTATTATCAATATATTAATAATATATTAACTTTTATTATAATGCATGGAAATGTATAGAAAGAAAATTTCATATTGTAAGCGCCTCTTCCAAGAAAAATTAATATAAATAAATTTAATATAAAAATTAAATTGATTATAACAAATTCTGTTGATCAATGTAATATAATACATATTATACATATATTGCTTCTCTTCCCTTTACTCTATTTAATAAATAAAAATATGAGCATGCATAAGCAGACAGAGATTAAAATTATATGGAAAAATATTACTGCCTTTTTGGACTTAAAAGGTTCCTCGTGGTATCTCAAGAGCTTCCCCCTTTAGTTTTATTATTTTACATTATTGAAAATTTGTTTGACATCGTGCTAGAATACTAAGACGTGGAAATACAATATTTCTCGCAATATTTACATTATAAACTATATTTTACTTGAATATCATTCAAAATATAAAACAAAACAAACACGCATCTTGACACACATCTCGGATTCATCACACATCTCATACGCATCTTACGTACTTGCGTATTGGCTCGTCCAGATTATCTTCTCGTATTTTGAATTTCCACTACAATTCCGAGCCTCGCTAATATTAAATTTCTGGCTGATATTTTGAGATCTCGGCTGAATAATCATGTCGCATGAAATTAAACCGCAAGTCTAGTCGCGACTTCGTTTCGAGACGGATTACATCGTATTTGAATAATGTAGTACAGTAATTGCAATTCATTGCTAATAATAAAATGACAATAGTAAAAATATAACTTTACTGTTAATTAAAATCTAATTGTATAGAAATTTCATTCTTCTCTACAGGTGAGATTTCATCTCGCGAAATTGAGACGATGTTCGCGTCGACGCGGCGGATGATATAAATACGCGGAAAACGAAGGATGTGTTAAAAAATTGAAGACTCCGCGAGAAAAGCGGAGAACTTGGCAATGGGTTCATATTGATTGTCATGCCGACGTGAGGGAAAGTGCGGGTGAAAAAATGTTAGCTGCGACGGATGCGGAACAAGGCGCGAACAATAGCGTGATAGTGTCGCAGTTAGCGAATTCGCACACTCCACAGGATTTCACGGTCTCACGCTTGCTATCCACGCCGACGCACTCCTTGGGTAAGGAACATAAAACTAGTACTTATTTATTGTAAACAATGACGTGTTATTAATTATCTGATTAACTATTACTAATCCTCCGTTTTTCAATCACATTTTTACTCCTTCCATTTTGCAATCTGGATCTTTTTGTTCAACTTTTTACTGTTCTAAGTTTTCAAAAATTGTGGAATAATTTAGGGTTATTCTTTAACATCTCTATTATATTACCAAATAATTTTATCAATTTTAAGAAGGGAAACTGGATCCCGCTCTCCTTTATTTCGGAGAAAAAAAATTATATAAATAGAGAGTAACAATAATAAGTAAAAAATCGATATGAAAGATTGATATTTAAAATTGATATTCGAAAGATTGATATTTAAATAACACAAATATTTAATTATTATTAATTAAGCGTGTAATAAAGTTTAACGAAGTTTTAATGAAACCTTCCTGATACTAACTTGCGAATAAGAAACTGCAAATTGTTATATTATTTTCATCACTAATTATTCAAATTAACACAATTACTCGATGTTATTGTTTTGTAACTAAAATTTCATTATAATTACAATTTTGAATTGTAAATGTATGTATATATGTATATCGTATTGACAATTTATTTGAAGGGAATTTTGTGGAATATGGAAAATGGCATTACACTAGCATGAGAACATTACGCAGCATCTATTGCGTATGATTTAATTACGTCCCTTCGCATGTAATCCGACGCACTTGATTTCATCGAAATCGCGCATTTCCAGTCATGCTGCTCGCATTATACCGCTTTGATGAATGCCCAAGTATAGTGGAGTCATTCAAAGAATGGCTGCGGCTGTTAGTCGACCCGCGCGCGTGCGTTTCCTTTTTTTTTTCTTTTTTCTTTTTTTGGTACAGGCCGCCGGTATCGCAAGCGGCATCTTCGAAACCGCACGTTTCACTGTTGCGATAGAGACCATCGAGAAAAATAATTTCGCATTCTTCTCGCAGTAACGTTTTTACGCGCGAAAATATGACTCTAAATAAGATTGACGTTCGTTCTGCGAACGATATACTTCAATTATAGACTAGAAATATATATTTCGATAGTCATATATTTTTCGCGCGCGTAAAAATGTATAATACGTTAAAGAAAGTACAAATAAAAATATTTAATAGAAAATATTTAATAGAAAAATACGTAATTTTATCGGAAAGAAAAAAGAAATTTACAATTATTTCAAAAGTTGAATTGAGAAATGTCACTGACAATTGCTGATTACTATGTTTCGTAGATTGCAGCGAGACCTCTTCTACTGCTGGGAACAGAAGACCCAGGAGAAGCAGGACTACCTTCTCGGCGCAACAGTTGGCCGCGTTGGAAAGAGTCTTCGAGAAGACGCACTATCCGGATGCCTTCGTCCGCGAGGAACTGGCGACCAGGGTGTCTTTGTCGGAGGCTAGAGTGCAGGTAATGCAATCTATTGTTCCAATACGGTAGCTCGGGATAAATGTAAACATAAATATTTTCTTTTAATAAATTTATTCATAAATTTTCAACAAATATCAAATATAATCTGTCTTTAGATATTTATGAGAAAATCATTCATTTAATTTCTCTTAGATTTATCATCTTACTTTTTACATTTAAAATATAATAAAAAATTTTGCTCCATTTTATTTTATTCTAATATTTCTACTTTCCAAAATGTAGAATGAGTCATATAATGAACATTTTATTTGAGGATTGCGATCTTTTTAGATTATATCAACTTATGAAACTTATGAAGCGAATTGAAGCAATTAGGGAATCATTTCTTCAAATGGTCCGACAAATATTTGATGCATCGTCACTTTTTTTCTATGCAATTTAGATGAATAAACACATTTATGCCACAGTCGCATTTATTGCTAACTTTATATATAACTAAATTATAGAAATCTAAAAAATATTATAGTATTAAATAAATAGAAATAGAAAGTCATATTAGGATACACCGAAAGAGCATCATTCTCAATGATGTTCGATCTTGTTCACCCTATACGAGGATGATGGAACGTGGCGGAACGATAAACCGCCGCTTCGAGACGCTCACCAACCGGCTAGTCGACCAACCAAGCAACCGACCCACAGAACGAGCGGACCGCTCTTTGAAGCTGTCTTCCACTCGGTAACCGAGAAGACTAGCTGTCCGAGAAAGTATCACGACGTGCACATGTGTTAGGCTCTTGTACCGAACGCAACGCGTTGTCAGTAACACGGGGGGGAAGAAAGATGAAGGAGGAGGTGGAGGAAGAGGCCGGCGGCGGAAGGTGGAGGTCGCGGACAGCTAGGCAGAAAATCGGAGGAGACAGGTTGTCAGAGCAGAGAGAGAGAGAGAGAGAGAGAGAGAGAGAGAGAGAAAGAGAGAGAAAGATAGAGAGCTATGATTAGCCGGACGGCGACGCACGTTCCAGCATCTGCGCGCTTCGGCGTCGTGCGTCGAGCACGTGTTCGCGTCGCCGTCGCCGTCGCCATCGCCGTCGTCAGCGGTCCATGCCGCGTACACGCGTCTGTCTGCGTCGTCAGTACGCCTGCCAGGAGCCGTCACGCTGTCCCGTCTTCGGTCGGCGCGCCGCGTCCTTCCGTTCTCCCGTTTCCCTCCGCGTCTCCGCCGAGCCCGGTCGAAGACGCGAGATTTTTGGAGTAACGTAAGATGAGAAGCGTCAATAACGTGAGAAAGTAGATCAAGTATTTCTAACGAAGGTTTTTTCGTGAAAAGAGGTGATTCTCTGATGAAGAGCATGTTCTTCAAATCATATTTATTTGTCTTATGGTTTAGTCTTCCTCGAGTGATGAGGAGCATTTGTGATAGTTGGACATGTCGGATCCATTAGATTTTCTTCGAAGATATTCCTAAAAGGCGGCATGGCCCTTTGAGTCGGATTTATTTGAGTTATACTCTAAGACTTCAATTCGTAGAATTTATTTGAGAGACGGATACTCGTTTGAGAGATCGTAAGAAACTCAATGAAGCGCTAATCAGTGGAGTTAAATTAATAAATATACACGTAAATGATTAAAATTAAGATCTGCAAATGAGTAAACTATTCTAAAGAAACGCTGAAGCACGCATGCACAACTTTAAAAAGTGTTAATCCTTTGAGTCAATTAAATTTACTTATATATTTACTTATAATTAGCTGCATTAGATATATTCGTGCAATAACTATGCATTCAGTTTTCTTATAGTTTATTTTTTTTAATTATTTTTCATTATCGCGCAAATATCCGTCTTTCATAACAATAAAATCGCAATATTACTCTTAACACTCTGGTTCATATTTTATTAAGAATATGCGCGATCAATGTGCAGGATAATAGACGATAAAAGAAAAATCAAGATATCTGCTGTTTCTAAAAATGAACTTTAATAAACAAAAGTGAATAAAATTTGAAAAATAGCAGACATTTTTTAAAAATAGCAGATACCGGATTTTTTAAATCATCTATTATCCTGATTGATATTAATTATAAAAATCATTCTATTCGTGTTCGTTCAGAGAATCATTTAACATTCTCCATTTCTTTCAATTCCAAAGGATTTCAAAAATTGACAACAGAAATAAAAGCACCAGCAAAGCATTATCGTCGTCCTTTTTGTATAGGTGTGGTTCCAGAACAGGCGAGCAAAATTCCGACGTAATGAACGAAGCTCGGCGATGAGCCGGGGTGTCTCCGCGGGTAGAGAAATAGAGACCGCGCTACCGCTACGTCCTATCCGGGTGTCGCATCCTCCGCAGCATCCGGCGGAGAGTAACGCGGAATCGTCACCGGGCGCAGCTACCACCCAAGTAACAGCGCAGTATTCTTACGGCGATTATTGGCGAACGACGCCGCAGCATTACGCGGTGCAAACCGCCGCGACCGCCGGTTGTCACGGCTTCGCTGCAAACGGCGGCCTGGCGAACATGAGCTTGCCGCCATACCATCATCATCAGGCCGACATCCACCACGGCACCCTCGACGGAACCGCCGTGAACGGCCTGAGCGCTTTGAGGCTGCGAGCGCATCCCTACAGCTCGACATATCCAGCGATGCACGCGAGTATGTGACATTGTTCCCGGAAATCGAATCTTCAAAACGCGAGAATGTAACGCTAGGCCTCTGAACATGTAATTTAGATCGAGAGAATTTAAGCTTCCGAAATCAGACTTAAGGCTCTTGAGTAGTCATCGCAACCATATTGAATCGTAACGTCAGAAGCGAGAAATGACACGTTAATTTTTATTACGTGTCATTTATAAATAGAGACAATTTGGATAAAACAAAATGAGATTGCTTTAAAACATTTGTAAAAATGGACGAAAACTATCCCCCCCTAACAGTCAGGAAATAATCGTAAAAGGCATCATATGCGTTGAATAAAAGCACTTCATGTGCCTTTTATCACTTTTTACGATTATTTACTGACTGTCAGGGGGCATAACGTGTCATTTCTCGCTTCTGATGTCATGATTCAATATGGCTGTGATGACTACTTAGGAGCCTTAAATTATAAAAGAATGATATTTTTCGAAGAAACAATATATGTATATGGAAAGAATGATTGTGTTGAAATATTTAAAAATTCAGCTAGATACAGCTAGAAAATCATTTTCTTGGATCATCAAATTTAATTGTGGAGGACGTTCAAACTAGTTGCTAGAATGTTAAAACTTTTTGTAGTATTGTCATCAATGCTTGAACATTTTACATAATTATTTTGATGAACAAAATTATTTTCAGATCTGTATCTAGTTAAATTTTTAGATACTTCAACTAAATCGTTATTTTCGTGTATAAAAAAAATGTTCTTTCTTCTCGAAGTTATAAGACTTACATAAGATACGTGCGCGACGGAATTGTTTCTTAGGAATTATTTCTAGATTCTCCGTCTCAGCACAATGATTCTCCATTTATAAATTCGCGAAGACTGGAATACTTATTATGATTTTATTAACGATTTTTCTTGCGAAATAGACCGATCGAGTTACTCCAATATCATTCTGGAAAAACGATGTGACGCAAACGCGTAAAGAATCATTTATCGAAATCTTTATAAAAGTGACTAGAAAGTTCGCTCGAATCGTCCAAACCAAAGATAAGTTTAAATGTTAAGAATATATTTGATTCGATAGTCAATTTAAGATGATCTCGCGCAGAATCTGGTATACCTAGGGCTATGTGCAAAGAGGGATAATTCTGATTTTCTAAAGATTATCGCAGGTAAAAGTCCAACGTTGACCGTGTGCCTTATAACTAATGATAATGATTAACTGATAATAATTAGATCAGGTTTAAGCTATAAGTTTTGAACATACAGGGTAACGAGTAAATAAGTTATAGCGCTTCTTTTTCCCGTCGATAGAGTAGCATATTAAGTTATATGAGGAAGTATATTAGAACATTGTAATATTTTAAATACAGAATACAGAAACGGTATTCTACACGGAATTACGGCCTTACACAGATATATGTATAGACGGTAAAGACAGCATCGTGTGCAATAAAAACATTGAGATCGGAGAACGTCTTCGGGTATGTTTTCTCACTGATATATACATATTTATATATAATCAGAAAAGTACACAACATATAGATATATGTAACAAATACATGTATATATGTACACATATCGAAATATATATTGGCACAGGATTAGAATATAGTCAACCGGCGTACATATTGATCGTATCCGTATTTTATCTCACTCTTAAAATGCATTATTCAACCCTCAGCAGATATTATGAAGTTTTCTTAAATCTCATAGCATAAAACGCTGGTGTAATTAAAGGTAAAAAATCTCACATTCATAAAGTGATATGATTAAAATTCTTCTTTTAATGGATTTTCTTAATTTTACATAGAACGATATTTTACATAGAATGACTGAGACTTAAAAAATCTAATAGCTTAAAAAGATGTATATTACCTGCCGAGGGTTATAAATATCAATATCTATATCAATCTTGGACCATAATATGATATTAGAATTTAACAAGACAAACATTCAAAAAACATCAAAAGGATGCCTATAAGGCAACCAAAACATTATAACATCTAAAAAGTATTCAACGCTTATTTAACATTTTTACGTTATCTTTCTTGACTTGTATTGCCTTAGCACATCAAGAACTTTAAAACCTTTGGAAAATTTTATCATCGAATACAAAATTCAATATTTCCATCTCCATAAATTCATCCAAAGTTAATTGCTTTGGTATTATTTCCAACATATTTTTTATTCCTTAATACTATACTGTTACTTGGACATTCTGCACAACATTGCTCCAGTCGAGCTTGGATGGCACCAAATAAAAAGCCGGTGCAATCTTACTACCGCAGGGACATTGACTGCCGGCGATCCAGCTGTACGAACCAAGTTTTGTATTACATTTAGGACAATTTAATTTACCCTCAACAGTGTGTGTAATATCGGGCATCCAAGCCAACGGTTCAACAAAATAAATCTTGTCGCAGAATTCGACTCGCGCCGACTCGTCTCTCCTCTGGATCAATTTGTCACAGCTCTCGCCGTCCTTGGGAGCGCTTTTGGCACTGATATGCCGCCAGATTTGCTTCTCGCGCGGCGCATGAGGCAAAATATTGCTGGCGCTTGCTACGATGCGACGGCACTTCTTACAACGATAAACCGATGGCTCGGGACGCACGGTTGTCAGCGCGGGATCTGGCTTTACCAAGTCGACGCAGCTCTGGGGAAGAATGCGAGCTTTGCGCACCTTATCGGCGGCGATCTGCAATCGATACATTTTGAACTGTACATTAGTACTGTCGACGCCGTAGCTCATATCCTCGTAGAGCCGCAACTGCGCCACGAAGCCAAGGTTTGGCGCGATAAAGCGACGCTTTGATTTTACCACTTGGAGCGTATCTGCGAAACTCAACTCGTGCTTCTTCATGGTATATGCGATCACTACGGTAGCGGATCGCGACACGCCAAAGTAACAGTGCACCAATACTCTGCCATCAGAGTCAAGGGCACGATCGATGAAATCATAGGAGTCTTCAAAGTGCGTTAGCAGATCTTCTCGCGGCATATCCGTCACTTGTATATACTTTATGATTAAATTCGGGAGACGCTCCTGGATCTTTCTTGGCAATGGACATGAATCTATTGTTAGTATATGAGTTATTCCAGCTTCCTTCAGCCAGTCGACATCTGTAGCAGCCGTGAGATTACCCAGGAACAAACCTGGCTCGATCTCATCAAAGCTACACGGACCAGCATCAAAATCTTCTCTTGTTAACTTTGTTTCTTCCTGCGCCATGCTCAGCACTCTGTAATCATGAGTGAAGCTGCGGAAGATATTTCTAAACCTAATCTAATAATTAATATTGCTATCAACTTCATTATTTTTTATTTCTATTTTAAAATATCCAAACTAGATTGCAGATCAATCCATAATGTATTCCACATTAAAATAATAATGGCTGCGTTCAGCAGAAAAAGCAGCTTTACAACTATTGTAAAATTCTTTAATATGATTGGTCTTGCTCTTAGTTCCTCATTGGATCTAAACGTTTAAATTAATCATATTCAAGAATTTTACAGTTGCAAAGCTGCTTTTTCTGCTGAACGTAGCCATTTACAATAATTATAATAATTTGAAAAGGAACAGAATGGGAGCTTAAAAAGTGAAAATAAATATTCATTATATATTTAGCTATAACTGCATTATTATGCACTTATTTAATTCTTATTCTGTATTTACATTAAGTATAACCATTATAAGAATGAATAAATATAGAATTCTAAATACATAATTAAACAAAATATTTACAGGATGTAACTTAGAGAGCAATAAAGTTAAATATTTGTCTGGTAAATAAAATGTCAATATATTAGCAATCTGTAAACAGATTCGAGCCAAATGTGATAAATTAATATCGACATTAAGATACAATGTCTCTTATACATTAAGCTCATGTTCTGCAAGCAAAGCATGTCAACAGCAAATTGCCAGCAAAAACTGTTGTGAGAAGAATCTGTTATTTCCTAATCATTTAAATATTATTTCTGCACAGAACAGAATTTAATCCACAGAACATTAACCAGTGTAGTATGAGTGACCGAATTCACTAAATGATTTGACAGGCACTGCACGTGTGATGACAAATATGAATGCGCAGTAATTGGCTGTTGCAATATGCAAAACGTACGAAATCAATGGTGTAAAGTATAAAATGAACTTGCCTTGACAAAAGAAAAGGTTATCCTTGCCGACAAAAACATATGACACAGTATTAACAAATCTACTTTGGAGAACATGCCTTGCACAGAAGGGTTTTGATTTGCAACTCACTTGGTGCTCGCGATTTCGATACTCAAGTACACTCAAATAATGACAAAATGACACACGCAGGATATTCCACCTGCTGCAGGCTGTAGTCCGATGGGCGTCAAAAAGGACGGGATCAGTCAAATCATCTTCGAAAACCTTCGGTTCTATGCAACAAACCGGTGACACTTAATCGCGAAATATCGCCGCTGTCTGACATTATTGTTAAAATGTAAAAAAACACAATTTTCAGAATTAGCTGTGCATATCACTCAGCGTGTTCGAAAATAGGTCTGACCAGACTTGAGGTTTGGCTCACTTGATTGCCGGTAAAAGAAAAAGAAGCGAAGTTGGCAGCATTGAAAATTAATGTTGCGTTTTCATGTATGATGACGTCACGTGTCGAACAGAGCCATCTTTTCTTGTCTCACTCTCACCTCGCCCTCTTTGCTGTCGCTAGATGTGCTGCGCACGCGGAAAAAGTAAGGTTAGGTTAGAGTGTGCGAGCAGCTGGCAATCGTACGAGCCGCGGAGGAGATCGGACGATCGCGCGAGCGATGTCGAACAAAACCAGAGGTAAGAACAAGAAGGTCGACGCGATCGAGAATGGAGCGGCCGACGATGTCGCGAACGATGATATCGCGACCGACGAAGTCGCGACAAAGTTCGCGGACGTGGAGATCGAAGAGGAGACTCCGACCAAGAAGCTTACGCACAAGGAGAAGAAGAAGCTGAAGAAGCAGCAGGAGTACGAGCGGACGATGGAGATGCTGACGAAGGCAGGTGGGCAGGGTCACAGCGAACTAGAGTCTAACTTTACGATCTCGCAGAGCCAGACACAGCAACGCGGTAATCAGCAATTGGATAACGCGGTCGACATCAAGGTGGAGAACTTTAGCATAGCGGCCAAGGGCAAGGAACTCTTCACCAACGCCAGCTTGCTTATAGCGCAGGGTAGGCGATATGGCCTTGTGGGACCGAACGGGTATGCTCTTGCTTTGCTGCATCCAACGTATCTCAGAAATCTAAATTGCTATGAGATCTGTTCTTTGTAGTTGAACTGTGAATGAGTATAGTGTACACTCATTCTTAACCCTTAAAGCCGGTTCTATATTAGTTGCAAACTGATCGCAAGTTTGTTGCGACAGCCAATATAAAGCATTGATTTCAAAATGCAAGATTGCTGTCGCAACAAACTTGCGATCAGCTTGCAACTAATGTAGAACTGGCTTACGCACTTCTTGAGTAATTCGTGTCCTGTGTATTTCATTTCTTTGAAATACTAAGAGCACGTGGTCAAATATTGGTCTCTTTTCTATTTCTAAAAAAAAGTTTGGCATCTAGAGAACAAGTTTTGTGCATTGCCTCAATGATAAATGCCCTCTTATTCTTGTATAATGTCTATAGACAATACTTATTATGAACTGTAATTATTGTTCAATAACAATGAGACGTTACCCTAAGCTATTCTTTTATGGTAACATGATCCCATGCCAAATGATGATGTAAGTTCATCTTTTGTCTAAGCTTTTTTTTCGTTATTATATAGTAAAGAAACATTCAAATGAATTAACAGAAGAAAAAAAAAGAAAAACTGACCCATTTAACATTGAAATTTATTTATCATTAAAAGAGGGAATGCTTTTATGATAATAAATCCCATAATATCAATGAGTAAGTTCTTCTTTCAATGACATGTAACAGATGTGGTACAGAACTTTCTTAGCTTCTTAGTATATTCCCCGGTTTGGTTTTCCGACCCCATTTTTGAGGGAGTCACAGTACCATGCGTATCAATTTAGTTTTAGAGCTCCTTCTTCGGGGAGCAGAGGCTTACTTATGTTTTTGCATTCTTATTTCTTAAAGTTTGTCATCATTCGAGGTGACCTACACAATTTAATGCCAAATTTAATGCCGAACGGCGGACGCGAAAAATCGTGTATATAGGGCGCAAGTGGGATCGAATTCCCATCTCCAGATCACAAGTCAATTGCACTGAATGGCGAGCCTCGTGTGTTACTCTTGTGTTATACTTTATTACTTATTGACAATGTATAAACGAGCTGAATATTATGAAATGTTTAAACTTTTAAATCTACTTTGTGACTCATGTAACATTATACAAGATATTATTACAATTCTTCTAAATATAATTACAAACATTTTATATTAATTTCTTAAATTAACATATTTCTTAAATTAAGGTGTAAAACATTTGACATTTATTCAACAAGTGATGTTTGAGTAGATATTATAACTTAAGTATTAATTTAAGTTATAATTTGAGACGTACAAATGAAAATGTAAATTAAGTAATTTAAGGAGATGCAGCAAGTATATTTACTTTTCTTTGATAGAAATAAATTAAAATATGAATGTAAATTCATGATATAAAAAAATAGTTAAAATCAATTAAAGGAAAAAAATACGTTAGATAAGCAACTATATATGCATCAAGTACAGATAAAAATGGTAATAAAAAATTAATATAAATTACTAATTTTTTACATAAAACAAGAGTAGTATCAGTTCTAAATATAAACATTAAATAAACATTAATTAGTTATATTAGTTATATGATAGCTATATACTGAATATATAATATTCAATTAAATACATTCCGATTAATAATATACATTGAATATATTTGAATTTATATTATATAAAATGTGAATGCAATATATCTTTAATTTATAACTACTTATGCATATTAAAAAAACATCATTTTCAGATTACACTTAATAACTAAACTTTTTGGACAATACCTAAACTATTTTTAATTTTTCTTTATAGTTTGGAATATCAATTTTAAGATATTGAACTATATTTTTCTTTTAAATATTTTTATTTCAGAGTTTTACATTTTTATATAAAATAGTGCATTTTTCTCATTTTGTTAATATTTAGTTATAACAATTTATCTGCAATTTGTTATAAATATATAATTGTACAAATACTTTCTAAAGATGTCAAAGTATGTAAAAATTGTTCAATAATTTACATATTCTTGTAAAAGTGGTGAAAATTAATCCAGGACACAAATAATCGAACGTGTGTAGTAAGGGTGCGAAAAGGTGTACTAAGGATTAAGGTGTACTAAGGATTAAAATGAAATAAATAAAATCTCTTTTTATAGTTGAACTAGTCTACACTCTTTACACTCTTAAAATAAAAAAAGTATATGTTTGATATTTGACAAAAAATAAGATAAAAGCAAAGAAAAAAATTGTAATATAATCCTACTGCAGCAACAAAGAACAGATCAATTATAAAGCATGTTGTAAGCAACATTTATCGAAAAACTTAGGAAACTTAGGAATTTTTAAGTTTAACTTATGAAACTTAGGAATTTTTCCTTTTTCAAATGTTTAATTTGCAATTTAACAAGTAGACTTTGATTTTTTATAAAAAGGCCACATTTCTTATAAAAATAGTTATTACGTTTGATATTTGTTTGTATTGCAGTCATGGCAAAACTACCTTGCTCCGTCATATAGCCAAAAGAGCTTTTAATATCCCACCTACGATAGATGTCCTGTATTGTGAACAAGAAGTTATAGCGGACGATACTCCGGCTGTAGAAGTAGTGCTCAATGCTGATGTGAAGTGCAAAGAACTTCAGGCAGAATGCAAGAAATTAGAAGAATTGACAGAGCAAGGGGATACCAACGTGCAAAATAGATTACAAGAGGTAATCATTATTTTTAAAAATTAAAAAATTTTTTTCTCTAAAAAATTGATAAATTATATACAAAAAGATAATCTATAATTCTCTTTCTTTCTTTTAAATCTCTTTCTTTGAAGAAAAATAGTTTGCAACTATTGAAAACTTGATAAAATATGATTTATGTATTATTTTCAGGTATATGATGAATTAAAAGCTATTGGAGCAGATTCAGCAGAGCCACGAGCAAGACGGATTCTTGCCGGTTTGGGATTCAATCGTGCGATGCAAAATCGCGCGACGAAAAACTTCTCTGGTGGTTGGCGAATGCGTGTTTCGCTCGCGAGAGCACTCTTCCTGGAACCCACATTGTTATTATTGGACGAACCTACAAATCATTTAGATTTGAATGCAGTTATCTGGTTGGATAACTACTTGCAAGGCTGGAAGAAGACTCTGCTAGTTGTATCGCATGATCAAAGTTTCTTGGATAATGTGTGCACGGACGTCATACATTTAGATCAACAAAAGTTATTCTATTACAAGGGAAATTATAGCATGTTTAAAAAAATGTATGTGCAAAAAAGGAAGGAAATGGTGAAGGCGTATGAGAAGCAGGAGAAGCGTCTGAAGGACCTCAAAGCGGCTGGACAAAGTAAGAAGCAGGCTGAAAAGAAACAAAAGGAGACTTTGACGAGAAAGCAAGAAAAGAATCGAACGAAGATGCAGAAACAGGAGGAGGATACTGGGCCCACGGAATTGTTGCAAAGACCGAGAGAATATATAGTGAAATTCAGTTTTCCAGATCCTCCACCGTTGCAACCTCCAATTCTTGGTCTTCAAAGTATGTAATTAATTCTTTCATATACTAAATTATTTATCAAATTGTATTTAGAAACAGAAAATCAATACGAAGTAAACAAGAAAAACAGTAATAAAAATACAAGTTAAATTTTTTGTACATTTATTTTTTTGCAGATGTAACATTTGGATATGAAGGGCAGAAACCATTGTTTATCGATGCAGACTTTGGTATAGACTTAAATTCTCGAGTAGCAATATTGGGCCCTAACGGTGTTGGTAAATCGACTTTCCTAAAATTACTAATGAGCGATATAACTTCTCAGAAAGGAGAAATCACGAAGAATCATCGACTGGTAAGTGCAAGACCGTATGTGTTAAACAACAAATCATGTTTTTTTCCATTTTACAAACTCGATCGTTCTGCAAAATAATAAAATATTTTTCTTAATATTTTATTATTTGTGAATCTCAATTCGTAAAAGTTGCAATACTTATTGAAATATTTACATTTACGGAATAGTTTCCAAGCAAAATTTCTTGTGTTATATACAGAGTAACACCAAACAGAGAATTCAGATCTTCTATTTAACAAACAATTACTTTAACATTCCATCATTTCACTTTAATATTTTTATCTTTTATTTTTTCCTTAATACCTATATTGTCTATTATTCTAAATTACTTTACATTTTTACAGAGGATAGGAAGGTTCGATCAGCATTCTGGCGAGCATTTAACTGCTGAGGAGACCCCGGCAGAATATCTGATGCGACTATTTGATCTTCCATACGAAAAGGCACGCAAACAGCTGGGTACTTTCGGTCTTAGCTCTCATGCGCACACCATCAAGATGAAAGACCTATCGGGTGGTCAAAAGGCACGCGTTGCGTTGGCCGAACTCTGTTTAAATGCACCGGATGTGCTGATCTTGGACGAGCCGACCAACAATCTCGACATAGAATCTATCGACGCACTAGCAGATGCTATCAACGATTATAAGGGAGGTGTAATCATCGTCTCACACGACGAACGACTGATTCGAGATACTGAATGCTGCCTCTATGTGATTGAGAACCAGCAAATCAATGCTATCGACGGCGATTTCGACGACTATAGAAAAGAATTGCTCGAGAGCCTGGGAGAAGTCATCAACAATCCCAGCATAGCTGCGAACGCTGCCGTTCTACAATAATCGTCGACCAATTAGCATAATTGATATCTTGGTGGCCTGTAATAATGTAAAAGCGATCATTTATCGCTTGCAATCAAAGCCTTCATACGGACGCTTGTTTCTCCTAAAAACACTGGATCCGAATTTTGTATTATAAATATCTTGCACGAGTGTAAAAAATAAATTGTTAACAACATAGAGTTTGTGTCAATTTTAAAAAATTAATCCAAATTATTTTATATGATCTATTACTTCTCTATTAATTTCATCGAGAAGACGTATATTGAACATGAACCTTAGAAGTTTTTTAATTGATAGTCACTTTGCAATTATTTGCAATATTTATAAGATTTACTCATAAAGATTTGTTCGAATTTTTTATACTTTTTATACATTTTCTTTTCTTCTTGATTACACATCTATTTTATTTTAAATATAAAAAGTAATACAATAATTACAAATGATAGATGTATAATGTATAGATCTGTTCTTTTTAGGGTAAAGTCTTTCTTCCTTTTCCACATTAGAGAGAAAAAGAGAAAAAATGAATTGTGTAAGAAATTCAGCTCAAAAACAAGCCTTCTGTAACGAATATATGAATATATATCGCTATAACTACATAATTAAACAAAAAATAATTCAATAGACAGATAAATGAGAGTAAATGTGCAAATGAAAGTGCGTTATAATATACTATTTATATACTATTAAACGTCAAATTGATGTTAAAATCATCGTATTTATATCGATTCGACATCAATTCGATGACTCATTTCTTGCTGGATAATATTTACTTTTTAAAAAAATAAAGTTTTTTTAAATATTTTCTCTGTACGAATATTTTTTGCATTCACTGTACGTTTTTACAAAAGTAACGCTAATTTTTAGACATAAAATTTTTTTTAATTTCTCACCGATTGCATTCTTAATGAACAATACGAAAATTATCATGTATACATTTGAATTATAGGATATAAATAGTTTATTATAGCGAACCTTTAACCGCGCAGTTACTCTCATTTGTTTGTCTATTGAATTATTTTTGTTTTAATTTCGAGAGTTCATATATTGTCATACTTATATAACTAAACAAATTTGCTATAACTTAAAAATTATTATTTTTTTAGTTGTTTGCAGAAACGTTAGAAAGAAAGAAAAATATACTATAAAAAAGTACATACTTTTATGTCTCTATAATCAGTTATTACTGCATAAATTTTGTGTGATTCAAAATATGTTCTAGAATATTTAATTTTTTAAAATTATGTTATTGTGTAGCAAATAAGATTTTGGCTATTGTTTGGACAACTTCTGATTGGTTTGTCGCATTTAGAACATTGTTTTAACCCTTAATATACACGTCATTCGTGTCCTGCCTTTTTTTTTTTGAAGTATTAGCAGCACCGAATTTTTTTCTATTCCTAAAAAAAGTTTGACATCTAGAGAACAAGTTTTGTACGTTGCTAACTTCAATTCGTGCGTATCCCTTACTTGGCATAACTCTAAGTTACAAATGACCCAACGTGTGTACATTTTTTGTAACTAAAAAATTTTTATTTTTTTCTTTATTTTAAACTAATTCTCAGTTATATTGCGAGAATATTTTGCGAATTATTAAAAAAAAGAATTTAATCCTAAAACATGTTAGTCCTGTACAGCTCTATTCAATAATCAATACAACTCTACTTATATTACTTATATTTTTTTTTAAAAACTTTCTTGTTTTTCTTTACATAATAGTACAATTTTGACTTTAATTGAATCTCATCGACAATAGTTTATCTTTTAGTACAATACGGAGAGCCGCCACTGATATATATCATATAATAAAGCGCTTTTGTGCAAACAGGATTTTGCCGCTCGTCTTAGTATTTCTTTTGTTAATCTTTTAAATAAGCTATTTTTTAAAATAATTAGCTCCAAATAATCCCCTCTTCCAATTGAAATTTAGAGGTTCTTTTCGATGTGAGAAATATAAAGTACGTACGATTTAGCAGTTAGGCAGATTCAAACTATATACATATCAGTATTTATATTCTGTCAAAGAACCATACCTTGTTTTTAACCTTTTAGCAGTTTCTACAAAAGTGTCTAGTATCGATCTTATACCTTTCGTTATCAGTCACGAATATTCCGTTATTACAAGACAGTTACAATGGAACAAGTATCCTGCAACTTGTTTATTCGTCGATGGATACGTAGACATTATACAAAAATAGGAGGACCATTTTTGAGACAATGCAACTATTGTCCTGTAAAAATAAAACTGTACCCTAGGATTGATTTACGTAATACAGTAAGTCATACAGTAACGGAACATCCAAACATATTAACAGAAGAAGAAAGGAAAGAAGAACTGCAGCATTTGTCATTATGGAGACATATTACTATAAAAGATAATATAACATGTAATAGATGTAATGTCAAACTTAAGTGTAATAGAGAATGTTTCTCCTGCGTACGTAATCACCTAAAAAATATACAAAGGTAAGTGTACCTTAAAAGTATACCTTATCAAAAATTGATATAGAAGAATAAAATTGACAGCAATTGATAGCAATAAATAAATAATAACACATGAAAAAATATAACGGTTAAAACTAATGTTCAACAAAGCATTCATCGAGATATGTACAGTGAGAGGAACAAGTATTCGTACAAGGAAATTTTTTATAAAAAAAGTCTTATTTGTAAAAAATAAACATTAATTAGCAATTTTATACAATGAACTTATTCTGTTCTAACATAAACAAGCTTCACATTCCTGATTCTAGAAACTAAATTTCTCGAGTACGAATATTTTAATTTTGAGCATCTAAACAATAGAATTTTTAATTTTCGCTTATTTTTCAAATGATATATTTTTTATTCTTTTCGGTATATATAATTTTAAGAAACATACAGTCTATTTTATTCTTTATGAATAAATTATTAATTACCTAGCAAGAAATGAATGTCACTTAAACGTCGTATCATTATTGGAATCATCGTATCGATATCGATTCGACATCAATTTGATAACTCATTTCTCACAGGATAATATTTACTTTTTAAAAATTAGGTTTTTTAAAAAAATATTTTATATGAAAATACTTTTTGCACCCACTGTATATTATAACCATGTTTTATAGTATATAAAAAAGTTAGTAGATAATATTCATTTATTTTAATTTTCGTATAAGAATAATGTATATAAGATTTGTATTCATCAGATTGCCATGCTAGATCGCATCTCAATAAAATTGAATTATCCAAATAATAAATTGAAAATTATAAAATAATACATTTGTCAAAATGTTGGAGTAGTGTACATAATTGAAACTAATTCTATGTTGCGTTTTTTACTTTCTTATTAATATTCTATATTTAAATGTAGAATATCACCTCCATGTACAGATGATGAGTACAGATAGTGAGTAGCGATACTAACATGGATACAACTATAAAAAAGGATCAAATGCATTCAGCAACTTTATCTAAAATTTGTAAAAACATAGAATAAGTAGGTGTTCTTGATAAGTAATTATTCATTATACATTTATTTAACCTACAGCACGAAGTTGCACAAAAGTTGCAGCAATATTACGAAGATTTTGCAGCTATATTGCAAATTTTGTGCTGTATAGGTTATTACAATGTAAATAGATTATTTAAATTAAACATTGCGTTTCCAAATATTAGAAAAATTTTAGTACTTCATTAGTAAAATTGTTGAACCCGAAACATGCAATATAAGTATCAGCGATGGAAACCCTTACTTTCTATAATCTGTTATAATGATTTGGAAATGGCATTGCAACTTTTTATGATGGTAACAATAACTAATTAAAAACTAAGATTGAGAAGGTAACTTTTAAAAAGTAACTTGTCTCTATGCATTGTTTATTGAAACAAATAATTTATTATTTATATTGTAACGTGTTGAATCGTTACATTTATTTGTTATTTTTATTCATTATAAATAATGAGATACCTTTTTCAATAAAACGTGACGATGACAAGTTATTTTTAAAAATAAATTTTCTAAACCAATGTTTAATGAAATATTGATAAATGTGAAATGAAAATACTAATAACAATTAAATCGTACTTACTATTAATTATTAATAGTAAGTACTTGCGATTATATTATAAAATTTATTAATATCGTGATAAAAAGTCATTAATACATTATTATGACAAGACTTTCATCGCATTTAAGATAATTATCCCGATAATTTGATTAAGGTCCCTCCACGTTGTGATAAGGTTAGTATCCAATACAAAGAAGAAAAAATCTTCATAGAAAAGCGAATTTGATGTATTCTGATTCCATGTCAAATTCATAAGATCCATTCGCAAAAAAAAGTTAAGCAATCCGTCAAACACCAGCGGTCTTATTACAGAAGGATGTGAATTCCAAATCTTTCAGACTACTTATGATAGAAATAATTTTGGTAGCATCTTAATTACATTTTTATTGCATTTTTAATATTATATAATATCAAAATTTGCGAGGAAATTATATGTTCTGCCATACATTACTACAAATCATCTCTTATTAAAAATAAAAAGATAAAATGATTTCCTTATGGAATCATGATTACGAAGGAATATATTTAATAGTAATAAAATACATGCATTATTGTAATTTTTTATATGTATGAATACAAAAGTATCTCGGATACCAACTGTTCCAGATAAATCGAACTTGATAATAACGAGATTTTAAAGAACTAAGTATGCTTTCTAAAAAATTTGTTATTATATACAAAATTTAATAATCTTTTTTTTTCTGCATTTTCCCAAAATTTTAATTATTAATTAACCTCGCTAATATAAAGGTATCCATTCGACTTATCTCGAATTTTTTATATCCACACATTTTTAATTAAATTCATGTAATCACGATATCATTGATAAAAGAACATCGGGTATTTTGATACAAAAATTATCTAAATCGACAAAAATCAAAATTTGTTAAATATAATCTCGTAATATATCTGCATATATTTTATCATAGAAAAATATATAATATACATATAAATTAATAATTAACAATATTCTGGAATGGCGAGATGTCTCCAATACCTAAAAATGATTTTAAAATAACAGTTAAAAAATTAAATATATACATTTTTCGTAATCATATTTTTTTGTTCAGAACAATCATCGAAAAATAAGCAAATTATTTGCATAAAGCTTAAATTTATTTACTTAA